AGGGATTTTTCTACAATTTGGATATTTTATATAAAGTGAAGAGGTTTTGGAAGCTAAGAATATTAATATAAATTAAAAGTAGAATATATCACTTATTAGAGCTTAGCCAATAAGTTAAAATTAAATTCTCTACAACTAGATATCCCATGTATTTCCAAATTACAAATCATACCACACAACAACGTGATGAGATATTTAAGAATATTATTAAATTTGATAATGACAGCCATTCATTTGTTCTTTGCTAATTCATGGTCTATTAATTCAATATGAAAATTTTAGATAGTACTATTATTAGATTATACCTATAAAATAATTTTTTAAAAATATTTCTATTTAAAATTATTAGTATGATACCTATGAATACAAAAATTTTCTTATGCTTTGCATTTGTTTTATGAAAGAATATTGATGATTAAAAATTGACACTTGAATATAATATTGATTTATTTGTGAGTATTGATTTATTGATATTAATGATGATCAATCAAAAATTGGATATAATGGAAGCCTTAAGAATAATATTTTTAAATCCAAAAATCTATTATATAAATAAAACATAAATAAAAATCTAGTGATAAGATGTAAAAATCACTTTGACTCTATTAAAGAATGTAAATTCTTTCTATTAGATTGGAATTACATAGTTGTGGCAATGATATCTAAAAAGTTCAATGAAAGGTAGGATGCCATACATATCACCTTAACAATAACAAAATATGCTAAAAAAGTACATTCTACAATCAAATATATCATAGATATGTGGCATGAGCACAAAGAATGATTTGTGTGTACATAGACAAATGAAGTTTCTATTTAGGTAATATAAAAAATTTATATGTCAAAGGCATATATTCAATGTTAAAATAATTCATAACCATATTAATTAGTGACTTACTAGCAATTCATATAAATATTGCAATAGTAGTGACATATCAAATTAAAGAATTAAAGACAATCTTTATTGTTGAGTCTTCAAAAGTATCCCATGACCTTTGACATAAGTGACTTAAATTGATTGTTGATAAGATTTTGATATTTGCCTTATGTAAACTAAAAAAAAACTTATTTTTGCTAATTACAATTGAAAGCTTTCTAGTTATATGAGGCTTTTTACAACCTAAATGTAATAATTTCTTAATTTTGCTCAATGATATAATTTAATACTAATATCTTTATTAGCTAATCTTTCTTGTCCTTATCAAAGTTTTTTTTCTTTTTTAATTTTGTCTAATGAAGTAAACAACTTGTAAGTACTTCTATACAAATTGTACAACTTTTATTATTTTGGGTTTCAAGTTTATTATTAAATCATTTATAAATCCATTACTGTATTATTTCATACACATCCAATTACTTTTTTGGACTCTTAACTTGCTGATTATGATTGCCTTATAATACATCGACTTCAACTTGGTAAGACAAAAGTACCTTTGAATTGGTCAACCTTATAATAAGTATGGTAATTGTAAAGCCAACAAGCATTATAAGAAAACATGTTATAAGATCTTCATAAGTGACATTGGCATTGTGGGAAGCAAATATCAGTAAGATTAGAGGGTTGAGAAAGAAGTTTGGAACTTGCATAAAGATTGAGAATTGCAAGAGGATTAGGGAGTTTAGAAGGAGTTTAAGATTCTTGACAAGAATTGTAAGTTGTGCATGAAACAAACCATAGGGTTGATGTCAAATAACTAAAAAACTTTCTTGCTCAAGATATCTCTATTTTTAGATAATATTTGAATTTGTAAAAGATTACAACATATGAGTGTCTTGAACATCAAAAAACATTTAAATTTTTAAAGAATCACCAATATGAGTGTCTTAAGTGATAAAATTTATAAGTTCCAAGTTTTGGCACTTGCTGATTATGATGATAAGGATTTGCAAAGGATTATAAAATTTAGTGTCACAAAGAATTAGTATGCAGATTGCAAGGCCACATAGTAGATTGAATAGAAAAATAAAATAATCAATGGAAATTATAAGATTTTATTTTTATTTTTATTTTTTATTTTTAAATAAATTAATAAATAAAATACATAAATTAGATGTAATTTTTTTTTTATAGTTTACCATCAAAAATATCAAAGTAATTAGATAATTTTCTTGCCATTTAAAAAAATTGATATAAAAAATTACATATATATAAATATAAGAATAAATATTAGAAAATATTAATATGATTTGCTTATTTATTAAATCAACCCATCTTATTGTAGAAAATAAAATAAAATAAGGGAGGATGAAATAAGAGCTGGAAATAATAAGAAAGAAATAGAAAGAGGAGGGTGGTGAAAGAGAGAGAATCAAGATGACGAACATTTGGATTGAAAGAAATGGGAGTTAAGAATATGGAAGTTGGAGATGAGGGCCATGATGATTATAATATTTTTTAAAGATGGTATATTTTTTTAATGATAGATATGATGAACTATGTTGATTTAATAGATGAATGGATCATTTAAATATTTTTCTAAGTATATATAAATATATGTATTATAAAGGTATTTTTAGCCTATTTTTAATTTATTTTATCAATTATGATTATGATTAAGAAAAACTGATATATTTTTCTTTTTAAAAGTTAAAAATCTATAAATAAAAGATATGGCAAGTCAATCAATAAAGATTTATTTAATCTTAAAAATATAGCTAAAAAATGATTCAAGAGTCACAAAATATTGATACAAATATATTAATAAAAAAAATCTTTATTCAAAGATGATAATATTATATGTTTGCCTTATTGTAATATGAAGACTAATTAATCTTGTATTAAATTTTATTATTAAAGACTTTATTTGTTTATTATTCTTAAAAAATTAAAAAATTTAATTATTAATTTTGATTACCACAATCAATAAATATTCATCATATATTCTATATAATTCTTATTAAATTTTTATTAAAATTAATATATTAGCATAAAAGTATCTACCACCACTTCTTATTAAATTAAATAATAAGTAAAAGTTTGAAAATAGAAAAAATCTAAGATTTAAAAAAACAAAAATAGAAATTAGAATATATGGTATATTTGAAAAAATATGATATATATTTTTTTTAGATTCATATTTTGACAATACATACTCCAATAGACTTGGTAATTATTGTGTTGACATATAATACTTAAGACTCTTTTTATTAATATAAATTGTGATTAGATTAGAGGTGTAATTGGATAATAATATTATTTTAGAAATAAAACTAAAAAACAAGAATCCAATAATTAGTTGTTGATGACTTTTCAAATAAAAAATAATTATTTGATGTCTATTAATTTTATATATTTTTAATATTAATGGCATATGTCAATATTAAAAAAATTAATAGGCAGTTAATTCTAAATAGTTCTAATCTTTTATATTCTAAGTGTATGTTTATTTTTTAATGATTTCTTATTAAAGTTTAAAACTTTTTGTAATTTTTGTATTATATATGAATTTTGCTTCAGTAAAGCATATGCTTTGTTAAAACGACAACAACTTTTTTAGGCAAAGTTTTATACTTAAGATTCTTAAACATTTGTTTTAATAATCTTTAAGTTTTATCTTCTAAAAATATTCTAACAAATACTTATGATGCATTTATAAAATTAAAACATTTTGCTACAAAAAATTCAAAAAAAAATATAATAAACCAAAAATGTAAAACTTTAAAAATACATATATTAATTTGAAGAAAAATATTTAATATTACTTAGATTTAAAATATTTATATGGCCTTTCTCTTTATTTTTTAATTTTCTTTTATTTTAAAGGTCATAAATTTCTTCTTTTATACATGTACTATCAAAAGTTGATGGTGAAGTTAAATTTAAATATAAATTTATCAGATTTATAGATTTATAGATTATTTATTTATTTATTTATTTATTTATTTTATATTGATTCAATACCATATCTTTCTACTTGATATCAAATATCATTGGCAAAAAATCAATTAACATAAAAAATGCTACAAAAGCTATAATTATAAAACTAAAATAAAATATTATTATATTCCATATTATTTGTTATTGATTTATAACTTGTATATTTATAAGATATTCTAAGTATAAGTTATATATATACATGGCTTTTAAACTTATTGTATGCTGAATATTTTAAAATTAATAGTACCATTATTTAAATAATTAATTAGTGCCAATAATTCTTTGTTGTAGATTTTGCATATAATATTTGTAATATATGTTTTTGACATTAGCATATAATAAATTTATACTAAATCCTATTTATATTATATTTTATTATATTTTATCAAAAATATATAATTAAAAAAATACATGTACTAGTATTATTTTTTAATAATTAATTTATGCTTTTAATTATCCATCTTTTTTCTTGAAAAAAAATACTTTTGTTACTAATAATAAATAGTAGATGAAGTTTTTATTTAACTCTCATCAATGCATTAGTATAATTTTTTAAATTTTATTTCTAAAACACTACGAGTTAGTTTAAATTGATTTGTAATTCTTTTTGAATTTCAATTATACATTTTAATACAATTAAATAGTCTAATAGTATTTTCTCATTTTGCAGCTTAAATACATCTTATAGAGTCACCACATGATATTTATACATCTTTATTTTCTTCATAAATTAGATGTTCATTCATGTAGTATAAATCACCAATCATGGATTTTATTTTACCTTTATATCTAAACGTTTTAACTTCCCAAAATTCGAAATGAATTATTTATTTATTTATTTCATTTTTTCTTATACTCTTCAATAATTATTATACAAAAAAAAAAATCTTTTTAATAATTTTTTTTAGATTTGGATCTACAGCCATTTGTGGGATTGAAGAAAATAATAAAAATAAAAGATCGAATTCCCTCGTGTTTAGGTGAAGAATGGCACTTGCGAAGCCTAACGCACTTAAGAAGCCAGTGTTAATCTTATGCCTCAACTTCGGCAGTGTGAATGCGTCAGTTCCCTTTCTGTGTTCTTTTTTGCGTTCGTTTTTGAATCCTCATCCTCACGAAGACTGATTTTTGAGTCTTTCGCGCGAGGCGCGCGCAGCGTCGTGCTGGAGTCAGGTGGCTATGGAGTTTGTCTAGGTAGATTACGAACCTTGATTCACAGAGAGAGAGTGTGGTGCCATGGAGTGAGCGTGGGATCCTTTGCGCCCGGTTTCTGACCCCTGACCAGCCTGTCTGCTTTAACTCGTTTTTGTGCTCCCCGGGGAATCGTTTTTTTTTTTTTGTGTATTAAATCAGATTGTGGTCGTTTCAGTGGAGTTGTTAGCGGCGTCGTGGAGAGCCGCCGGCTTATCGTGGAAGTTTCATTTTTTTTCTTTTTTCTTTTTTCTTTTGCAATTTGGATGCGATGATCGCTGAATTTTATTTTGATATTCTGTCTCTACAGAGATGCTTCTAGGTTCTACTGTTTTCGAGTAGCAATGCAAGTGCGACGTCGTGATATTCTTTTGCGGCGGTTCTTGATGTTAAATAAATTATGGTTTGCACCGGTATGCAACCGGCGGTTGTCGGTAGGGTATTTGCTGTCCTCTTCTTGAGAATGTCACAGCAGATGCATAATTCGGTTTGATTTGGACGCTCATCCTTCACTTCATTTGACCTTGACCTAGGGAATCGTAAGAGCGAAGGCGTGAGTTCTCTGTATGATTTCTGTAAGGTTTTTATTGATAGTTGTCTGATTGAAGAAACCGTTTGATAAAATCAGTTGCAATTTTAACTTCATGACTTAATGCATTTTTGTATTTTTGTATTTTTTTTGTTTCTCCCCCTCCTGCCCCTACTGGAGTTAGTCATGGCTATTGTTAGCGTCGTCTCAAAAAACTGAGCTGCAACATTCCCCGCAACTGTGCCAAAATGACGTGCATGTGCAGCCTATTCCTGCTGGCTATTGTTGCACTGACGTGCAAAATGTGTCAAGGAAAATTAGAGAGTAATCCTACATATACGAGAGCGAATATTACAATGCCCGACTACCAGATCTACCATCGGATGGATGAGCTGTTAGGCGAAGTCGACGCATTGGTGGACCGCCATCCTGGCATTATGCGTCGGGATATGATGGAAGCCACAGTAGACGGGTACTCTACAAAAATGTCCGTGGTATCAGTATCACCGGGAGGATTCGATGGCAAATTAGATGAAAAGCTGCGAATCTTGCTAAATTTTGGTGAACACGCTCGCGAGCTAGTAACATCTGAATTGGCATTGAGGTTGTTGAGCATGCTGGGAGGTGAACACAACTTGACGGTGGACAACCGGACACGACTTGCGCATATTCTACCTCATACGGTGATGAAGATTATACCAATGGAGAACGTTAATGGGCGGGTGAAAGTGGAGGCAGGGGACCTGTGTGAGAGGAAGAATGGCAGAGGAGTGGACACAAACCGGAACTGGAAAGTGGACTGGGGAAAGAAAGAAAAGGATTATAACCCAAATGAAGAGTATCCAGGTACTGCACCATTTAGCGAGCCCGAAACACGGATTTTGCATCAGCTTGTCAAGGAATTTGCTCCTCAGGTGTGGGTGAACGTACATTCAGGCATGGAAGCTTTATTCATGCCTTACGACCACAAGAAAATGGTTCCTAACGACAGTGGAGGAGTTGCAGTGAGGAATTTGCTTCAGGTACTCAATGAACAACATTGTCAAGGGCGCTGTGCGGTTGGATCAGGTGGCGCCTTCGTTGGGTATCTCTCGCACGGCACTGCCACAGACTACATTTATGACGTCGCGAAAGTGAGAATTTATTTGTGTTCTATCCAGTGTTCTGGTATTTGCTGCTTTGTTAAAAATTGCATAAGTGGATCCACATGTTGTGGTTTTACTTCATTGTGGTATTATGCTGGTTGGAATGTAGTAGCTAGCGTGTCTCATCGAGTATGATTTCTACACCGTATGGCATGATTTGAAGTATAACGTTGACTACAGTTTCAGATCACTCTTCAGCATGGTTTCAGCTCGTATAGCATATCATCTTAAGGATTTTCTAGTGAGTCTTGTCTCTCGATCTCATCGTAATGTTCGTCTTTGACATTTGAAGGTACCGATTGCACTTACATTGGAGATTTTTGGAGATGAAAAGACTCCAGATGAAGACTGTTTTCGCATGTTTAATCCTGTATCCTACAATCAACTGGAGGAGGTGCTTGCAAAGTGGTCAACTATTTTTTTCGCACTTCTAGTGAATCTCCCAAAAACTCTTTCGAGCATGCCCAGTACAATTGCAGCTACTTCATGGGATATATCTGAATCCAGTAGTTTAAGGCCTTTGAAGCAATTCGAATATCTCTACAACGGGAGCGGAGAGCTGAAGAAGCTTGGGCGAGTTTGGCATGGGATGGATACCGTGTCGGAGGGCTTGAGAACACCTGATACCGAAGCCTCCTTGCAATATTACCTGTTGTTTTGTCTGATGCTGCTTATCATGAGCTGGTTTCGGTGCAGTAGACGTTACAAACGGTTGTTCTTCTACATTCGTTCAGTCTCGCGTAGGTAAATATGACCGTCAGGTGTTCATCGAATCTGTGCCATCTACCATGAGCAGTCTGCATGTGTCCGCAAGTGTTCTGTCAGATACCTTCCTGCCTGAAATCATTTAGTTATGAGAAGTTGTAAGAGGGTATCTTCGTGATTGAACAATGTATTGAATCATGCTGCAGGAGTTGTAGCAAAGGAGTCCGTTGTCTAGGACCATGATATCTGGCGACAGAGGCCCGGCCATAGTGTTGAGGGCAGTAGTTGCTCAGTGGTTTTGGCTGGTGAGAACCTATAGCGATGACTTATTTTCCACATGAACTTGGTATCTAGTTTTATGTGGATTCAATAGTGAGGTAGCATATTTTCTTTGAGGGACTTGAAAATACAGAGCCGTGAGGTTTGGAATAAATATGCTTACTGAGCAGAATACTCAATCTGTCTGGGCTGCTCACTTTCTACTGATTAGCACTTTTTCCATGTGAAATTTGTTTAATTACAAAATTCAAATCTTAGCAAGATGAGTTTCTAAATATTTAGGAAAGTGTCTTTAACCTTCACGGCTTATTTTGTAGGTGGATAGACAACCTGAAGTCTTCTTTTTCTTCACATCCATGACACTCCATGTATGTTATATAACAAGGTGTTCATCTTTCATCTGAATTGCATTGTGGGAGCAGATAAAGTAGATGAAAGGACTAAGGATTTTAAGAGTATACAAAATATGCTAAAAGCATATTCTTCTAATAGATAAAATAACAATAGATAGTCTTGCTAGAATGTTGGATGGATATATTCATCAAAGGATAGAAGTTGTTTATTAAGGTAGTAGTCACCACCTATAAGTAATGGGTGTTGGAAGTGAGATATTTTATTCCATACTCTCTTTGTGTGCAACTTTGCTGATGCTAAGTGTTGTGGCTTTATAGTACTTGCACTTCAATAAGTTTTGAGCCCACTCACATGTAGTTGTGAGTTTTGAAGTTCTTTGAAGTCTTATTTGTTGTGAGGATTAGATCTTTTGGTTGTTGTTGATATTAAGGTTTGATATCATTTAACTCCATTATTATATCTAGTTGTTGATGTAATTTTGATCTTACTTGTTATTAAGTGCATTGATAATTTTAGAGGTTGTTAGATATTTTAGAATAATGATTTAAAATATTAGTATTGTATTTCTTTGCTGATTTACATCATTTGTGATCTAATATTGTGATTTTATGTGATAAACTTTCATTGAGATCCTCTTATAGTGATAAGAAGTGTTTTATGAGGTTAGAAGTATTTTATGAATGAAGAGGGATGATTGAGGAATAATAAAGCTTATATAAGAGGTTAAGATAGAGCATAAGACTTGTGAGAAGTCTTATAAGTGAAGTTGAAAGTGATTAAAGAATGAAATCACTTGTTTATTCACAAAGAGGTTATTTTAGATTTTTTAAAGCAACAACACATTTTTATTGATTTTGAGAGCTATTTCTTCACTTTTCTTCCTTTTCTTTGATACACTGCTTTTTTAGACATGGCTTCAAATAAAAGTAAGAGTTTGAAAATGATTGAGAAGTTTAGGGGTGACAATTTCTACCATTGGAAGAAAAAAATAGAACTTTTGTTGGCTTTATTGGACCTTTGGGACATTATGGATGAAAGTGAAGAGCCTCAAAGTGATGATGTTGATGCCAAGGTAAAAAAGGAGTACAAACATTATAAAAAGAAGGCTTTTGGCATCATTACATAAAATTTGGATGATGCCAACTTTTCACATGTAATTGCTTGTAATGAACCAATAAAAGACTAGAAGACTCTTTGTGACATCTAGGAGAGTAGAAATCTTGCTAATATTTATTGGACAAGGAAGAAGTTCTTAAAGGTAAAGACGGAAGAGAGAGATGATCTCATAGCTCATGTCAACAAGATAAAAGTACTTGCAAATCAACTAGCAGTTATTGAGAAGCCAATTGATGATAAAGACATTATGTTGTCATTGTTGATAAGCCTTCTTGATGTCGTATTGTAATTATTTATAATAAGTTGAAATTTAACTAAAATAGATGATATATTTATAAGTATTAATGTGCTTTAGAGTGGTTAATAAGTTAATTTAAAGAGAATTGATGTAAGAAAATTTATTTTGAAGTTTATCTATATTAATTATAGTGTTTAAAATATATAAGATTTAAATATTCAATATAAAATTTAAGAAAAAAATTGGAGGTCAAAGATGAAGATCTAAATCTCTAAGAAGCTTATTTGAAGGGATGAAAGTAAGGTATGGATGGATGAAGTCTAAAAATAAAGATTTTTATTCCTTTTGATCAAAGGCCTTGTCTAATAGGCATTCAATAGGTTGTCTATGACCGTAACAAGGATTTTGGCAACTTTAAAAAGAAAATTTGATAATCAAGAGTAGTATGATTTAGGATTTGGGCTACAAATTTGTATACAAAGTTTAGAGGATTTGGAGTTAAGGTGATGAAGTTATAGCCGTTTGAAGTTAAGGTGTCTTTTTAAGACATATTGTTGCTATTTTGAAGATACAAAGAATTTTATAATAGATTTAAGAGATCGAGAGGAGCAGCCACAAGATTGATTTCAAGATCTATATTGTTTGTAAAAGAACTTCTATCTTTGGAGTTTATATGAAGAAGTTATAGAGTATTGAAGACAACATATGTAATTGAAAGGCAATAAGTGAGTCATTTTATTGATAGTAATGGTTGGAGCCATATCTTAAGTTTTCTGAAGAATTTTTGACTAAATATTTTTAGAAGTGTGTGTTATTAAGTTAAGAAGCCATATATCAAAATTTTATGGTATTTAAATATTTAGTTTGCGAGATATGAAGAAATTTGCACATGGATGTATGTAAGCAAGGATTTGAAGCTACTATTAGAATTTTCGTGATATCTCAAGATCCGTAATGAATTTATGGTTGAAATTTTTTGTGATAGTTGTGAAAAGTATATCAGTACTTTATGTAAAATTTGGATTTTTTTGGATGGTCCGATCATGAGATTTGAGCTATTGGATTTTGAAAAAAAATTATCTTAAAGATATACAAGTTTTTTATAATATTTTTATCATATTTTTGGTGATCTTTGGTACTTAAGGCATATGTATTGATATAATTGTGCCTATAGGGACAATTTTATATATAGACTTGGTATTTTCTTTATTTAGAGGCTTGATTGAGCATTTAGTAACAACGAGAAGCCATGCAATTTCTTAAAGCAAATTCTTTCTACCACGACATTGAGTCCTATAACTACCTTATTGTGGCATTCGAGTCTATGAACATGAAAGAACTTATCATCAATTATGTCATATCAAGGCTTGCTCATGAAGTAATCAAGACAAAAAAAAAAAAAAAAAAAAAAAAAAAACTTCAAAGTGATGATTTGACTCTATTTTCAAGACAAGGTAAAGGTAGCTATTTTCACCAACGTGATAATTCTAAAAAAAACATGAGAAACTACTATATTTATAGAAAATTAGATCACTTTATTAGGAATTACTACAAAACTAATGAAGGAAATATGAAGAATGCAAAGAATGCTTGTGATAACTTTGATGGAAATGACTATGCTTTCATAGCAATTGAAAGAGCTTTTATGGCTACTATGTCTAAGTGGATTATAAATTTGAATACTACTAAGTACATGACACTATATAAGTATTCATTTGATATTTATAAAGAATTTTTAGAAAAACCAAAGTTTGGTTGAGAAACAATAGCATGGTAGAAGTCATTGGAATCGGATCCATTATTGTAAAAATTGTTATGAATGACCAAATCAAGAGAATCATATTAAAAGAAGTCTTACATATGCCAAAGATGAAAAAAAACCTTCTTTTGGTGAGTAAACTTGTATTACATGGTTATAAGATTCAATTTGATAAGAATGGATGTTATGTAAAGACATTGGATGGACAACATGTTGCTAAAAGCCTTAGAGATGGCAATCTTTACTTCATCAATTATAAAAAGGTGAATGGAGTAGAAGTGGCAGTATTTGTTGATTTTCCACAAGATTAAGAAAAATTTAAAATTTGGAATTAAGGACGTGATCATTTGAATGTCAAAAGTATGAAGGAATTCTATTCTATGGTAAGTGGCTTGGATCTTGGTCAATTCAACTACAATGCCTTGACACTTGCTTGTGAAGGATGTATACAAGGTAAATAACAAAAGGCTTTATTTCTAAAAAGAATTGCAATACATGCTACCAAATTGTTGGAGATTTTACAATCTGATGTTTGTAAATCAATAAAGATACCATTAATTGGAGGAGTAAGGTACTTTGTCATATTTATTGATGATTTTTTAAGAAAAATATGGATTTATATCTTTAAAGCTAAGAATAAATATTTTTTAAGATTTAAGGAGTTTAAGGCTTTTCTAAAAAAAGAATGTGAGTACAAACTTAAAGTGTTGTACATAGATAATGGAAGTGAATACATATCAAATTTTTTTGATGAATTCTTGAAGATTCAAGGTATTATAAGACAATCTTCTACTTCCTATATTCCACAACAAAATGGAGTTGCTGAAAGAATAAATCACACCATTGTAGAAATAATATGGAGTATGCTTCATGCACAAAATCTTCGATATGATTATTGAATGGAAGTAGTAGTAAATATACTATATACAGGGAATAAATGCCCAATAAATGCACTCATATCAATGACTCTACAAGAAGCTTGAAGTTGTAAGAAACTTTGTGTTTCATATATGAAGATTTTTGGATGCATTGCTTATACAAAGGTACCAAATTGTATGAGATTCAAAGTTGATGCAAAAGATACAAAATTTGTATTTGTTGGATATTGTTAAGATACGAAGGCATATAAGCTTATGTATTTAGAAACCAAAAAGATCTTCAAGAGTCGTGATGTTGAATTTTTGGAGTATAAGAATGCTTCTAAGCACTTGGAGATGTATCTAAATGGGAGTAATGGTTTGTTTGTAGACACATCTTGAATTTCAACAAAGAAAGAAAAAGAAGATGATGACATTAATGATGGTGGAAATTCAAATCAAGATGAAGAGCCAAAGAAGGTAGATCATAGTATGCCTATAATTGCTAAAACTAGCAATGAAGACAATGAAGATGTTGAAGATGATGATCATGATGATGAAGAGTACCAATCTTTGAATGTGAAGAAGCAAGTTTTTAGAGAGAAGAAGCTTACAAGAAACCTTAGAATAAAAGAAGATGAAGCTTCATCAAGTGAAAGGAGATATCCTTTGAAAGATAGAAAACAACTTGGTATTTGGTGGAAGAATATCTTTCTTCAAATAAGTGAAGAACATATTAATGTTACATTCTTTGCTAATCTATTAAGTTTGTGTAATGCAATGAAATCCACATATGTTATGAAGTGGAAAAATACCATAAAAAAAGAGTACAAATCACTCATAGAAAATGAAATATGGAAATTGACTTAACTTCTACCAAATCAATCTTTAATCAGTTGTAAGCGGGTGTTTAGAGCCAAAAAGGATACAATAGGTAATATTGTGAGATATAAATTTAGATTGGTTGCCAAAGGCTACTTACAAGTTATTAGTGTTGATTTCAATGAGACATTTGCTTCTATGGCCAAATTCACTACCATCAGAACCATTGTTGCAATTGGAGTAGCAATGGACTTAAAGATGCATCAAATGGATGTGAAGACGATTTTCTTGAATGAAAATCTAAAAGAAGATATTTACATGGAGCAACTTCAAGGATTTGTAGAAGAAGGCAAACAACATCTTGTTTGTAAGTTGAAGAAAGCCTTGTATAGAGTCAAGCAATTTCTAAAGGCATGGTACCAATGCATTGACATATTCTTTGTGAAAGAAAGATTTTTAAGGAGTAAATCTGATCATTCTTTATATGTAATGCAATCAAATGAGTTCATATTAATCTTCATCTTCTAAGTTGATCATTTGATCATTTTAATGAATATTATGAAGATAATAGATTGATTGAAGGCAAAGTTAGAAAAAGAGCATGAGATGAGTGATTTGGAAGAGCTTTAATATTGTTTAGAAGTGGAGTTTGTTAGAAATCATGCTAAAAAGACCATTACAATGAGCCAAAGTAAGTACATTAAAGAAGTATTGAAACAATTCAACATGGAAGAATGTAAGCCTATTTGAACACCTTTGGAGACCAATTTGAAGTTGATGAAGTTCACGGATGAAGAATTTACTGAAGTTGAAGGTGAAATACAAGGTGTTCCATATAAAGCAGTAGTGGATTTACTTATGTATGCAATAATTGGCACAAAGGTGGATCTTGCATATACAGTGAATGTTGAGAGCCAACACATGTCAAATGCCAGATCAATCCATTAGGCAACCATCAAAAAGATCATGAGATATTTAAAAGGAAATTTATATTTCAAATTGTGCGTTGGAGGTGATAGCATTAATTTGTATGGTTATTATGATGCGGATTGGGTTGGAGATGCAAATGATAAAAGATCAACAATAAGATATGTGTTCTTTGTTGGAGTAGGAGCTATTTTGTAGAATTGTAAGAGATAACCAATAATTATAAGATGAAGAATGGAGATAGAGTACATGGCAACAAGCCATGGTACAATGGAAGCAATATGGTTAAGGCAACTTTTGGAAGACATTGGAATATTGCAAATGAAAGCAACTCTAATGGAGTGTCACAATCAAGGATGTCTTACATTTATAAAGAATCCAAAGCATCATTCGAGGACCAAGTACATTGACATTCAATACTACTTCATAAGAGAAAAGATTGAAATGAGAGTGATTGATATGAAGTATTGTGCAATAGAAGACATGTTTGCTAATTTGTTGAAAAAAGTAATAATAAAGGATAGACATCATATATTAACAAAGACATTAGGATTGAAAGCCTTTGACGAATAGCAAAGTAGGAGTGTTAAAATAAATAAGTAAAAATAAAAGTAGAATAAGTCATCTTGTAGAAGATATTAGCTTAAATAAGTTACTATTGATTAAAGGATTGGCTCTTTGTAGGTAAAAAGGTCAAAAGATAAAAATAGATGAAAGGACCAAGGATCTTAAGAATATATAGAATATACTAAAAATATATTTTTATAGTAGATAAGATAATATTAGATAGTCTCGATAGAATGTTGGATGGATATATTCATCAAAGGATGGAAGTTGTCCATTAAGGCAACAACCACCACCTATAAGTAACAAGTGTTTGAAGTGAGAGATATCTTACTCTATACTCTTCGTGTGCAATCTTACTGATGCTAAGTGTTATGACTTTATAATGTTTGTTCTTCAATAAAGAAAAATTAGCAAATTATGGATATAATCTCATTCAATCAATTTATGTAAATTATGTTTCAATAGTAGGATCAACTTGCAAATTGCTACAAGATGTAAAATGTCACAATCATAGTTTTAGAAGTCAATGATAGGTCTATATGAAACCATTGGTTGGTGCAGAATTTCTTGTGCCATCTTGAATCCTAAACCTGATATATTCTATTCCACTAGTGCAATAAGAGAGCATGTATTTTTTTTGTAACTTGCCACAGTTGGCTGCAACTAATGTAACAATGTTCAAGTAAAATTGTTGGACTCATCCATACATTGGTGGTGGTATGCCTTAATATGATCATAAGGCAACAAGTTTGGAATAAAACTTTCCGGAGGAAGCATTTGGAAGACGTTTCCAAATGCTGAAAAAATCATGCATCAAATGAGAAATTCCAAAAGCACAACCATACAATCGAGCAAAGGAAAAAGTTAGAAATTTCAAAATGAAACTTGGCTGATATTCATATCGGAATGCCACCCTTAGAAATTCCCAATTGGGTGGTTGCGGTTGTGATTGATAGACTAGATTTTCTAATGAGCTGCAATACATAGGAACGATTAGACATAAGCTTGAGTATCTTGTAGATTGACAGATACGATTTGAAATGTCCTGAAATGAATTAAGTTCAATACAGATGGGGCTTAAAGCAGCAAAATGTCATTCTACATTTCTACTTCCCACACCCAGTTGTTAACACAAAGCTGGCTTACAGCTGCTACAAAGAAGAAAAAAGAAAACAAAAGAAATTGTACTTCTACAATACCACTCAGGTATTATGTCCGCTTCAAATATTGAGGGGCTCTGCTTCAGTATCACGCAACTTCTCTTCAGCGGAGACGTCCGAATTCCCTGAAGAAACATAAAAGAGGTCCAATCAATTACTGAAACGCCAAACAGAACGTAAAAATGCTCGAGGGATTAGTTCGAACATATCCACCAACACCTAACACAGTTCAAAAACCTACATAGTGGATAACAAGGGATAACAATGCGATTGCGGATGAACGACCCTGCCACTGCCCCGCAATCTCGTGCAAAACTGGCAAAAACTACATCGAAGATACTACACATTGAAGTTGAGGGAAATGACACGTACTATTCCAGTGCTTTTCAGATACAACCCTGAGCCGCCGCTGCAACACTCCTGCCATGCCTAAAAATATAGCACACATCCCGAACATCACACTGATGGGGAAAGCGCTCACCTGGAACAAATGGGAAAAGTGATGAGTTTGACATTGCAAATAATATAAGCACGATAAGTTCACAAAATGAAATTAATTCTTGTTCATACAAAGGAAAGCAGAATGCAAAAAAAAAAGCGGTCGCAGACAGTGTTGCTTACATTATACAGAACAATACACACGAAAATGTTGAGAGGAATTCGGAAGTAGTTCATGATGGTGCTTCTGGAGTCCTCCGGAATATACTGAGATCTCATCTTCATGATGGACGGCCAGAAGATTCCCACACACATCTCAAAAACACAAAAACCGAGCAGATTCATCCGCCCGCCAACAGTCATGGACTCCGATCGTTCATCAGGTAGGAAAAACTGTCATTGCCATGTTCCCCACCAATGTTAGATGACGCCACTTGGACTTTCGTGATTGATCTTATTACCACTACTAAAGTGACATGCACAAACATTCAAATTTGCAGTTTATATGTCCTGAATCAATAAAAACAATTCCAAAAACAAAGGCTCTTCAAAAAAACTGAAGAACACATGTAATGTCTGCTGATGAGGACTCACTTGAATGATGACCGGAAGGCAAAGGGAGCCTGAAGCCACGGCGAACACAACCTGCATGTAGCTCTCAACCCTCAAATTCGGACGTGACATCAGCCGAGATGCTAAGGAGCTTCCTAGCATAGAAGCAAGCATAAAGGTAGCGAAGATGAAGCCGAATGGAATCTTCTGATCATAAGGACTCAATGCTGGTGTCCAGAGGAAAACAAATGTATACATGGAACCTTCGAACAAGGATTGGATAGCACCCAAAAGAGCAATCTTTTCATCTGCATAGCAACATTTACAAGTAAGATCCCAATTCTCACAATATTACAATCACTGCACACAAGCGTCCAGGAGAAATAGAAATCTAAAGCATTAAGATACAAACCATATGTGTTTAAGTACTTGTGGAAGACGAAGAATTACGCTCAGATTCGTCAAGACATTTGATCTTACCAGAAGCAATTGCTGCAGCAGCTTTAGTAAATTGATCAATGATGTTTTTGCCCTCTGCCTGATCGCCATAATTTTCAGGCCAAGTCAACATGATTATGCCCATGCCAACTGCCAACACACACGCTGCAGCGTCGAAAGGAGAAACCGGACCTAAGTTGAAGGTTCCAGCCAGAGTGTTGGCCACAAGTCCAGCAATGATCGCGATCAGACCATTGCCCAAAAAGATAGCTTTGGAGAAAGTCAATGATAACCACTGCGCCTCAAATCCTCTCTGTTTAATGTCACGCAAGAGACGCTATTAGCGGAGGGTGGATCACTGAATTTATTCTCAATAAATCTGAAAGTAAAGCCACAAAGCATCTACTCGAATGTTACACGAAAATCGGAAATTTCTCATAGAGAAATGAGATAACCTTAAAATGCTCAGCCACGAGCCATGACTCAAACGATGAGAAAAGCAATGAGGTAGCGATGCCTCCCAATACTCGACCCAACATCAACACTCTGTACTGTGGAGAATGCTTCGTGAAACAGCTCAGCATGTATGTAATACAGTAGATGACACTCATCCTCTTGCGTCCACTACAAAAGACACATTCAATGCATATCAGCAGAGACCGCCAAGATAACGATATAGAACATAAGCTTAGCTTCTCTTACATTCGACAATACTAATCATGCTGCATTCTTGATCTATATTCATAATACTAAACAGGAACAAATAAACCATACCCTGCACAGAGAATTTTTAGACTCGTTAAATGTAAATAAATAGAACTAAAAAATAAAATAAAATAAAATAAAATAAAATCTAGCCATGAATTCATATGGTAACAGCCACATGCAAATGCAAAAGTGCGCTGATCCTAGGTGGATAAGTAAGTAAACAAGCTCTAAATTATAGGCCTAAATATACGGTACTCATCCTAGAATATCTCCTCAAGGTGAAGATTAAGTACGTTGAATAAATACCTGATTCATTTTTTTAAAAGATTGAAATATTTTTCCCTGATGAAAAGGCGAAGGTAAAATAAATACTTACTATCTATCCGCAAGTGATCCCACAATGGTTCCAAAAAGCATTGAGGAACCAAATCCAGCAATAAACAGCTTGCCAATGTCACCTTTGTCATATCCATAGAAGACGTAAAGAGCGTACACATATGGTCCTTGCAGCCAGTCTCCCGCTGCACACATGAATAAAGTTTTCAATGCATAAATAACGATCTATGAGCTTTGAGCAAATAATCCAAATACTTACTTTGGGTCCCTCTTGAACACGTGAAACGAAACGACAGGGAAAGACGGAGAATCACGCTTAGATTTTCGCTGCCCTAGCTAAATCACAAGCATTCAAAGAAAAAGAGAAGTGAAGGTGCTTCAAACATTAAGACTAAACTGGCAACAACAACAACAACAACAAAAAATGCTGGTTGAATTCTGCAATGTCAACGCAGACCGACCATTACGTAAATACGACTTAGTCAGAGTAAAAATTGGAACAACAAGTTCATTAACAGAAGAAATATACAAGAAAACCGAAGATGTAGAAATCGGACAGGAGTGCTAAATTCTCTATAAAGGCAATATCTGAAGGGCACAATTGATTCAGTCTCAAAATGATGCGGATAAATTCCAATCAGGTAAATTTTAAAATGCTGGAGGTGTACATGAAAGCCACTGCCAGAAGTCACGCCGTCCATTCAGTGGCGAAATCCATGATACTCACATTCTGAAAGGTAAATGATACAAACCCTCACACGAGTACGGGCACGAGTTCCATGATAGGCATCAACTATTAGCCCCAAAACAGAGCCAAGAAATTGGTAAGCAGTGCGGAAGGACTTATTGCATGACCAAAATCTCCTATCGTACATTGCAAGCAACATTTAGGTCAATGAAATGTAACAGCACCACAAAGATAATGAACTTTTCCAAGAAAACAGGTGATCAAGACGCTGTGCAAGCGTCGGCTGAAACTATTTCCATCCCAACACCACGAAAATAGAAAAGCAAGCACTAGATCAATGCCTCACATGGCAAGTTTCAATAAAAACATATTCTTAAGAAAGATGCAATATCTAGAAAGGAACTTCGGCTTCAGCGCCCAACACAAAATTTTACTACATTTTTGAGATTTCACGTGAGAGGACACAAAGCACCAAAATCCAATTGCTAATGAAAAATGAAGCAGGAACTCCTTAGCAGAAAAAGAATTAGGTGAGACAGGGAGACCGAGACGGCATGATCGAGCATTTTTCTTACCCATCATGAGCGAGTAGACCACCAGATAGTTGTTCTTGAATGCATTGAAAGCAGGGGATGTCGTTATCTGGTCCTTTCCCGACTTTCCGAATTCCAAGGCAACCAAGACCATCGCCTGGACTGCAAACACTGCATAGAAGTAGAACTCCATGGCGAAACGATACGCGCCACTCCCGTAAAACCTCCTTTGCACCTACACACTCACCTCCAGCTCCACATGCAGTCACGCACTCTCCTCCTCGCTTCAATGTCCGCAAGATCTGACTCGTCTCTCCTGCTCTCCTTCCAAACTAAGCTCTCAAACACAATGCCACCCGCCTACGGCTATCGAATCTCACGTCCGAAACCTCCACATCAATCTTCACACCCACACGAACCTCTCAACCTCGGATCTGCTCCACCTCCCCGACTCCGTCCCTGCGACGACAACCAGGGCACTGCAACACGTATAGCGAATGCCGCAGGTCACCAAATCGAGCAAATCCAGTCTTAAAAAACCACAGCCGGTAGACGAATATTCGACGATGGCAGGGCACAGATCCGGTTCGTGCTCGACAGAGGCAATGAAGCAGAGATTGCTCTCGACTCCGACTGTCGACAACGGTGCCAAGCTCTCGCAAACCCCTGTTAGAAACCAGGATGTTACGCAGTCACCTGTGGCTGTGCGAGACGAGGGCCCACAGAGCCGCGAACCCTGTTCACATTGCGACGCTGAGACCTTGAAATCCGCAGCACCTGGCAGGAGGGGTAGAATCACCCGAACTAAAAGTGACTTTATCCGAGCGAGGCTTTTATGCCAGGAGATTGCTATTACGGCCCAATGGCGTTCTGTTCAGGGGTCTCATGCAGGTACTGACCTTCGTATGGACCTGCTACACTCTTTCTTCTACAATAGGAAAAATGTTTACTGCAGCATGTCCAGTCAGCAACATAATCCTCTCTCAGGAATTTGACTTGGGTCTCTGTTCATCCTTGATCCACTTGTACTGTTTTTTAATACATATTTCTTGCTTTCTTCAGAGGGGTCAGTTGCATACTCCAAAAAAACTCAGTCTGTGCCCACGACTGAAAGAGAAGTCTACCTGGCAGCCAAATCGCTCAGAAACTCAATTATTTTCCTGGTTTTGCTGGCAATGATTGGGCACCTTTACTCCCCCGGTCCACGTAGGCTTCTTGCTTGCGTGGACAATTGTCCTACGTGGACCCCTGAAACGGACTCAGATGGAAAATTAGTCGTCTACTTCTCAACACTCTTGGTTCTTGTGGAGACATGGGTTGGTGTGTAAATCCAAATAATGAATATAGAACTAATACCCAAAAACCTTTTCAGCATCATTGACCTTCTCAGTTACCACACCAAGGTTCAAGCCTTTGACGTGGACCGTGACCCCCAATTCAAGTATGAGAAGACTATACTATTTATCCAAAAATTAATGTAAAAATTAAAAATGGAAAAAAGAACATTGAATGTGCTATTATAATCATATTAAAATCACGGAGTTAGGACGTTGAGGTGGTTCGCAAACATCGAAGACAAGAAACTCCTCCGATATGTCGATCGTGCCGTGGGATCGAATTCCCTGAAGCTGGTCGCTAATGCTAAGCCTGTAGCAATTGGTTAATTATCTTATGAGCACTGTGACAAAGCCCGCGTGAGTTCGAAATTTTACTAGAAGCCTCCAACAGTGTTACCGCGTGGTAAGTGCACGTTTGAAACAAATCTACGCAGATGAGTGAGATGAACTGAAATAGTTGCTATTTAAACTCCAACACGTGTTTTCATTTATTTTCCTCCATCTAGAGGGGGCAACCAGTTCTGACGTCTGATTTCTGAACAACACTCACTCGGTTTTTCATACATCCACGACATTGTTTTGGTTTGTTTTGATTTGTTTTTTATTTCTTTTCTGATTGTCGGTGTCCACATTGTCTCCCACCATCATACTTTCTTTCTTTTTTACCTATGTTTTTATATTTATTTTCTCCTCCAATACAAGATACAGGTTAGTACAGGAACCCCAGTCAGTTTGAAAGAGGGTGATAAACTTATCTATGAAATTGTTACTGATAAGAGCGAGAAATCACGTTGCCAACCTGGCTTATGTTTGGTCCAATACCAGTACAGCCATTCTCTTATCTGACACAACCATTACACCCATTTCTCGTCACATGTTGAGTTAAAACAGTATTGAGTTCACACATTGAGTTAGAACAGTGTACAATGCTGCTCAGCCATATTCTACCTCCACAGACCATTTTGTTTCGAAAGCAGTTTCTCAATTGGCTAGTATTAATTATTGATAACCATGCCATTATCTCAAAGATATAGGTGCCAAAAGATAGTACTCTTTGGTAGTACCCTGACCAGACTTGCATTCTTACATTTTCTTCGAATTTTGTGTCCAAGTGGACATTGTTTTCCAGTTGAAATATGGTATTTTGACCATCAAGCTAATGGATACTCTTGGGGCAGGGTGAATGTTTGTTTGGAAAAACATGAACTTTTGCTGCCAAGGGCATTAATTTTTTTTCATGGGGACACAAAGAATGAACACTTTTGGCTTGGGCTAAGTTTATTAACCAATCTCCATAGGATGAATCACATGATAAACTTTTTTTTGTGTGTGTGTGTATGTAAATATATATTCTGTATCAAGGTTATTGAATTGATTTAAATAAATCTTAGGTCATTATGGGCATGCCAAAAAAACATTGTCATCCAACTTTCTTGGTTAGTTAATTTATTTTTTATTTATTGTATCATTTTTTCAATGTTTTAAGTTCAAAAATATATAAATATTTATTTAAATGTAATTAGTTGGAGTGGCTAATACTCCCTTTGAATATTAAAGAAATGATTCTCTTAAGATGTAGAATTAAGGTTGAAGCTATTCAAAGTGTTGATTAGGAGAATTTAATCTTATGTTACTTTTATCTGTTAATATTACTATTTATAAATGGTGGCTGTAAATATTACTAGAGTATTTGAAATAACTTATGATAATTACTTAAACTTAAATTATGAAGATTCATGGCTATAAATTTTATTTTTATTTGAACATTTTTTAGAAAATTGTATCAAGACTTTGTCATTGTTAACTAGCCTAGTTACCTCAATATTAGGCCCAAACCAATAAGATTCAAATAGAAAGAAAAATTAAGACCAATACAATCAAAATAGTACCTCAAGGCAGCTTGAAAATATCCAACCTATCTAAGAACTAAACCTCCTTAAAAGAATTACGATCTTTACTGTAAAATATAAGATAGACCAAAAATACTTGGTCCACTTAAGAACAAAATACTCAAGTTAAATAAGATCAAAATAAAATATTAAAGTAGCCCCCATGATCAATTAAGAATAATGTAAGTTTATAATATACTTGAGTTGAAGGATTTTTTTTTTTCTTTTTTCTTTTGGATTTGGTATTTTAGCTATTCTATTGAATTGTATGAACTATTTGGTATAAACTTAATTTTGATTTTGATTTTTTATTACCTCACTTTTTTTTTTACTTATTATATATTTTTTTTATTAATTTGGCTCATAATATTAGTTGGCATATTATTCTTACAACCAAAGTTTTACTTTCAACTTATTTATTTTGATATGAGTTTATTGCTATTAAGTCTTTTTATTGCCATTATTGTATTATGTACAAATTAGCTTAGAAATGAATCATGTATCTAAATATAGAAGAATATCATCTTACCTTGAGGTTAGATTTAAAATCCATAAACAATGCATAAAGTATTTATAAACACTTTTTTGGCAATATTAAACAACTTTTTAAGCTTCTAATTATGCCAAGTACAACTTATCAACCTTAAAAAATTCTAAAAAAAAACTTATCACATTTTAATCACCTTTAAAAAAACCTTGAACAATCTTTAAAAATCCTAATTAAATCTTAATTAAATCCTTATCATTGCTAAAAAATCATAAAATAATATGAAAGAAATATTTTTAAAATATTATAAAAAAATCCTAACTAAATCATAAAGAAATATCAAATAAATTTTAATTGAATCCTAATGAAAATTTAAATAAAACATAATAAAATCCTAGTTAATTCTTATTCAAATCTAAATAAATGTCAAGGATGTGAATCTCACAAAAAAAAAATCTCAATACACTCTTATGTCACTTAAAAAAACTTAAAAATTACTCAAAGTTGATAATATGTTGAACTAGAATGGCAATTAGTAAAGACAAGAAGACTAGAAAGTCTTGAAATAAGACTAACAACTAGAAAAGAATTGATAAGAGTGAAGAGGGCTTCAGTCTTGCCTCCATATATACTATCTAACTAGAAGCTACATAGTGATGTTTTATAGCACCTCCAATATATGTCCAATTTATAAGATACATTGTTGTATTATGTGATGCCTTACTTGAAAATATACCAAGCTTTTGGCTATGGAAGGTAGAAGAAATATTGCAACAACAAGATTTTAATTCTAATAGAATCCTAAATAACTACAATTAAATCTTAAAAATGCTAATCAAGCTTTAATTAAATCTAAAGAAACCTCAAATAAATTACAAAAGAAGCATGAAGAAATCTTTAAAAAATTCAAAAGAAGTATTAAAATAAAATCTAAAATATATCTTAAATAAATTCCAACCAAATCTTAATTTAATTCTAGTTAAAATCCTAGTAGTCTTTACTTAAATCCTAAGTCAAATCCTAACTAAATCCTAAATAAATCCTAAATCCTAACCAATTCCTAAATCCTAAACCAAATCCTAATCAAATTAACCAAATCCTAGGGTAGTTTAAAACCTTAATATCTATCGATTATACCATTGATCTTGCTTAAGATTTTACACACTTTTCAACAACTAAGTTGGCAAAAAGTACACAAAATTTGAAAAAGATCGAACTTACCAAATAGAGGATCAAACCTAAATTCCACTCAAGTGTTGGCGACCCTCCTACTCCAATCTAAATTTTAAACTTCTAATATCTCCTTCTTGAATCATTGAATTGCCTCAAAAATACACTTAAACTATGGAAAATCAAGTCTAATCTCTATACAAAAAAATTTCATTTCAATCCAATTAAAAAATTGGTAAAGATCTTAAAAATATTCATTGACCCTCAAATTCTAATTTCTGAGACCTCAACTTGCAAGAACATTCACACACTTTGATTTAACCATTCGATTGACTTCAAAATTTTCACACACATTAACAACTTGAACACCAACACACTATTCAAAATTCATCTATATATACACCACAAAATTTAAGAAATTCTCAATTTTGTAAACATAATTTTATTTTTTAATATCTAATCCAACTAAGAATATTTCTAACTTTGAAAAGCTCCCAAAAATTAAGTATTAGCTAAATTGACATAAAATCAAAGTTTAAAAATTTCTTTGCAAGTTTTCTCTCAAATTCCACTCTTTGATCTCCCAAAGAACCTTGAAGTTGCTATAGGTGTCCAATTTTGTCTCTCACTGTTTGATTTTGATCCAAGTTGACAACCGGTCTTCTTTGAGTATCAATATTTGATAATTTGAGGTAATTTTTATATAGACCTATTGATAACTTCCTTCTAAATATGTCTATATTAATTACTTACCTCATATACTTTGATTTGAGGCATTTATGTCCCTTCAAA